ATGGGAAAGTCCAGTACAAATTTTCCAACCCTGGAACGGTGGGTGGAAACGGCTCACGGGTTAAATGGTGCTTTGAAGGATGCATGGGCAGTAGTGGCCTATGATATTCCCCGGTATTTTGGAATTGACATCTGGTTGCAGTGGATGGACTATTAGAGCTACAGTGATGATGTTGACGTGACTGTCAGGCTGCATTTCCCTCAGCTGGCAATAAGTCAGCTCTCATAGGAGAGCTAAATCCTCTGCTTTCCCTGAGTGATATTTGTATACAAGTGGACTGTTGGTATGGGCCTTCACCCATCTTCACATCTAGTTTAAGCATTATTCAGCCTGTTTGATCTCTGTCTGGGGCTGAACGCCGGAACTATTTCCAGAGTAACTGGCAGAAGTGAGAACGGGGGACCTAGACCTGCATGAATGTTTTCCAGCCAGCACCACCACTGGCAGAAGGCAGCTGATGAACCCTCTCCCGCAGCAGGGCAGCTCCTCCTCTGGTTGCCTTGTGGAGAGAGGCTGGGTCCAGCTGTGCTGAGCGCCTTGCTTCGTCATGAGAAGGTGAGCTGTTGCCCGGGGTTCCCTCTTGGGGGGCTGAGTGGGGTCCGTCAGCTTGCTGAGACTGCTCTCCTTTGCAGCGCTCTTTCAGAAGGCAGGACAGTTTCCCCTGCTCTCAGTCCTCTCTGTTTCTGTTCTTTCTCCATATCCCTACGCCTTGTTCTCTTGGAGTTTGTCAGGCAGCCTGCTAGGAATTTGGTGCAGTGTTGCTCCCTCTTTTCTCAATTTCTCAAAAGTATATAGCCAAAGTTTGCTGTGCATCATTCTAATGAATAATTTTCTGCTCTTTAGGAGGGACCTGTTTTTCTGCTGGAAGTAATCAGTTCTATCAACCAATAACGAGAAGTCATGTAGCAAAACTCTGATGTACTTACGCAGTGACTTCCTTTGGCCTGTTTACTAATAGAGTTGAACTGCGTAACAGGGCAGAGCTTTGGCCTGTGACAAGGGTTACATCAGATAATGAATTGAGATATCTGATCTCAGCTAAAGGAACAGCTGCCAACACTTTCCGAGATAAATAACAGAATGATGCACTCCCTATTCTGCTTTTTCTAGACCACTTTTATTATTTAAAGGTGGAGAAAAAAGAGCCTGGCCTTTAATGACCTATTTTCAGCTTGACCCATGTTCCCTAAAAACAGGCTGTGTGAGCTGTGGTGTAATATTTACTGCAATTTTTGTGCCATCCCAGTCAGGACACCGACTAAAACAGCGTGGAGATTTCATGTAGGCTGCTTTTTTGACTGTCGTGGGAGACGAGCAGGCTGAATTCATACAAAATCCATCTAATATTTATTATTCATGAAAATGTGACAACACCGCAGCAAGTTGACCAGACTCAAATTTAGTCTAAATTGACAGAGAAGATAAAAGGTGTAAGAACAGTCAGTGAGGATTGTGATGCCTGGATTGCGAGCTGCTGTATTGCCAACAACGAACAACATATTTATCCTATTTTTCAGTGGACCAAACCAATCCTTATGTTAAAAAAAAAAAAAAAACAAACCCAAACCTACTGGAAAAAATTTCTCTTGGGTATCTCCTCTGTATTTTGAAACGATTTAATACGAAGACATATATAGACACATATTTACATACACCTTTAGGGTAGTCTTCAGATCTCTAACAGGTGGCTACAAAAAGAGCAACTTTTCTTCAGGTTTGCAGAGGAGATTTGCAGCAAATTACATTTAAATCAGGTGTTAGGAAAACAGTTTGTGATTGTAGGCAGAATTAAGCACGGGAACATGCTGTGCAGGAAGAATCCCAAATATGGATGAATTTTAGTAACAAATTAGGAAAATGCATCCTTGATGGTTTTGGGATAGTCAGTTCTATCCTTGGTCAGGTAGCTGGGGGAGGAGGGAAGAACTTAAAGATATCATCAGTTTATTTTCTGACAGTCGTCTCTTCCTGGCATGCTCCCCCGTCCCCAGCATATCTCATCAATTAATAGCTTCAGTGTGTTCGGCGGTTCGGCTCTTGCCTGGTGCTCTATGTCTGAGGTCAATTTTGCAGGCTTCTGGGGTGAGCATTGTCTTGATTAAAAAGCGATGAAAGTCTCCCCCTGACAGGATCTCCCCCAAAAAAGAGGAGGGTCACCAAAGTCTGTGCAGCTTCTGGCCTTTCAGCTGAGGTGGTCAGCAGTGGGACCATCAGCAGCGGGTGAGGGTAATTTCACAGTGCAGGTCAGCTGCAGGTGGAGGTGTCGCAGGAGATGCTATAGGTTTATTGGACAGGTCCAATAAAAAAGTCAGGGCAAGTCTGGCTGTGTGTAAGCAAAGGGCCTATAACTGGGCAAAAAGAGAAATCAAAATCATAACAGAAAATGACTCAGTCTTGACTTAAAACTAGAAATGAACAAGCACTGTTTTTTTACCAGTTGGTCATGGATCCAAGCTGGGGAACTAGGAGCAAAAAGTCTGCCTTGTTACCGGTGCTTCGGGTCGCTGGTCTACCAAAGAGTTGCCCAAGCCAATAAATAAAAACTGCAAGGTCCTGTTAAATGAAGATGGCTGCCTAGAAGATCTGGTACAGAAATCACCAAGCAGAATTCCCTGGGGTACAATAATGCAGAAGATCATGAATGACCCTTTTGGGCTTAATGTCAAATGTGCATCAGATCAAGTAAGAGGAGCTTGCCCTTATCATAAAACAGTTTGTGCAAGAGCGGGCGTAGATGAAACAGAACGCGTATTTTCCCATGAGTTTCTTAACAAAGCGAAGTGGTTTATCAATGCTCTGGTATCTACTGGCAGGTCAACGTTCGTTCTTTATTTATGATTGTTGGTCTGTTGTTTGCTCTGTAAGAACTGGGCCTGGCTTTTTGCACAGGATATAGGTCCTTAAAATGAAAAGGTACGTGTTTTTGAACTTCTTTATCTTGCAAGCATAGACAATGGGGTTCATGGCAGAATTGGCATGGGATAACAGGATTCCCAAGTACATCAAACACTTGGGGATCTGACATTTAGGGTAAAAATAGACAATGCAGTTTATAATGCATAGAGGCAACCAGGATATTGCAAACAGGAAGAGAACAAGTGCTAGAGACTTGGCTGTTTTGAACTCCTGTCCATAAAAAGCTCCTGCTCCTCTCACATTGGTTGTACCTTGATTTAGCTTTGTCCGGATGATGTAGAAGATTTCAACATACAGAGCACACATGATGAGCAGAGGGACGAGGGTCCATGTGAAGAAGCCAAAATATACCATGTAATCCATCCTCATCACAGAGGTAAATCGACACCTGAGAAAGTCAGGGGTTTTTGGTTCTGCCTTGTTCCATCCAAACATGGGGACTAATCCCACCAGCAGGGAC